CCGGCCGCATTTGCGGTCGGGGTAGACGACGGATGGGGCCCACCTACGAAGGCTGTCCAGGCCTACACGAGATGAGGCAGGTTAAAGAGGGATAATCCCCCTCGATCCCAAATCATTGATGCCAATTTCTAGCCATAGAATAATGGCGCGCGAATCACTCACACCATTTATTAAGAGATCAATGGTTTAAAATAAATATATTCTGCTTCTTCTAAGGTAAAAGCAAAGAACACTATTCTCTGGTAAAAGGTGTAGGAAGTTTTTGTTTTTATAAAATTGTGTGGTAGTAAAATAGTTGTTTTCTTTATATTTACTATAGTTATATTTTTAATACAAAATACATAGGTTATTTTTTTTAATCATTGATTGCCTAAAAGTGAAATGGAAACTCCAACTATTAGCATATCACAAAAAAAATCCACTCTTTCAGCAAAGAAAAGTAAAACCAAACAAACTATAAAAAATGTCATAGGTGCCCCTTACAAAAATTCATATTGGTAGGTATGTTCAAATTATTTATTTAACTGTATACGCTGTTGAATAAAAATAATCTAGGCCTTTAATATCACCGGAAGATCATGAAATGTTGAAAATTGTTCTTCAAAAAAATCTGCCACAAATAAACTCTACTAAAGTCAATATACCTTGGAAACTATTAAAGAATATTCCCAAACCTGATAGGAAGAAATTTAGAAATGAGTATGGCAACTCCGACAAACTACAAATTAATAAATTGGAAAGGTATATGCAAAAAATTAGTTTTCTGTTATTTGTATAAGTATATTAACTTCATTTTTTTCAGAGAAGGATTGACGTTTGGTATAAATGATGTAACAAAACTTTTAGAAAATAATTTAGTAAGCGTTATTTTGGTAACTAGCGATGTTCAACCAAAATTTATGGTAAGGCATGTATTAGATACAGCTATTTTGTACAGAGTGCCAATTATTATCTTCGATGACTTACGACACTTACTTTTCAAAGTATGTGGTATAAGTAGTGTAATCATCGGCATAAGCAAGAATATTAATCCTGAATCAAAACTTAATTTAATAAAAGAAAGTGTAATACAAATTTTTGAAAAACTTCCAGAACCATTGGACCATATTAATTACAATCGATCAATTAAAAATGTTAGCAATATGGAAACTTCTCAACCGAGTACTCAACAAGTTGAAGATAAAGATAGTAGTTTATTGACAAATTCTGACGAATTAATTGATGGATCAACAATATATTTAATAAGAAAATCTAAGGACAAGAGGGTTTTTATCCCTGATAAGTCAGAATATGTAAATATTCACAAAATGGAAGTAGATTCAACAGGATTTTTACCTTTCTCTGAACCATCTAGAATCGAAACTGACAATAAATCTATTAAAACAAATTATAAGTCATTAATTGTAAAGAGGCTGAAAGGTAATCCTAACAGAAATAAGAGAAAAATTGAAAATTTGAAAAGAAAGTTAAAATAACATCGAGTATAGTAATGTAAGTACAACTGATTATTGTACTTTATTTTGCATAATAGACCATAGTAAATAAAGTTAACAAAATATTTTTTATTAGGCTTTTTTCATTGCACCTATATGATGATATAGTCTTCAAATTACGTAATGACTTAATTTGGAGACTACCATTTAACATTCCTGTAGTCCCTGTATTGATATTGTGCTGCTGCAATGTTGTTCCATTACGATCGAGAAAAAATAGCAGCAGTGGTCGATCATTTGTTGTCAAAACATTAATTTTACCAATTTCTCATATTGTAAAAATATGAAACATGGCATATAGTAAAATTATAGCAGCTGTTGCAGTTTATTAATTTATTAGTGCTTTTTTTTATCTAAAATGCAGTACTCTCAATATAGAAATACTCTGACTTCCATTTCCTTAGATCCACTAAGGTCATGCGCAAGACAGTTTAATTTGGTATAAAAATATAGTCCAAATAAACTGATTCCAGACAAAATAAATTGAATGCATTAAAAATAAATAATGGCAATTTTTTACAATTTAAATACTATTAAAAAGCAACTGCAAAATTGTCAAATTTTCTTGGTTATTGAGTCTACCAGTAAGGTAGGTCTTTTTAAAGATAATACACTATGTGGTTACACTTGAATTGTTTCATACTATTAAAAACACTGAGTTTTAATCAGTGGTGGCTCGTGACATTGAGAATAGGTGAACCATATTCAATGATTGACCAAAAAGAAAAAAACAGCGCAGACAAAAATTTTCAAGGTCAAACGGCTTTAAAAGAATCGAATTTTTTAGTTGCATTTGCAATATTTCCCAAGAACTGACGTTCACAAGAAGGATTTTCATTTAGATTTTATAAAAAATAGAAACATTCTTTTTGACCTCAATTTTTCATCTGAAAAGGCGTTTCCATAAAATATATACTGGATCATACATAGGAAACATTTCTACAATTATTGATACAAAACAAATATTAACAAAGGACCTTTATAATTGTGTACTGGGCAACGTATCGTATAAGCTGTTTAAAGGCAGGCGATGGGTGGTGGCGATGCTGCTGCAACTTCCGCGTCGCTCATTCTCCCACACCGTAGTTTACTTACGTGTTGGCCGCCTCATTGCCATGACAACCGCCAGAAAGAACGCTACAAAGTAAAGCGGAATACAAACTGATTTCAATTCACGTCACTTGCTTATGCAAGTGCAAATGCATTTGCTTATGCAATATGTGATATAGAAATAGATATTTCTTTAGGCTATGGTTATATTATGTACGAGGTTGATAGTCACGCTCAACGAAGGCAATGTTTTTTTCGAAGGCGTTTGCCGTGCAACTATTTTTATTTCTGTGTATAAAACAAACAATACATTTTCAATATACCTAAATTATAAAATTTATATAAAATTAAAAATAATTTTAAATTGTACAACCAAACGGAAATTTGAGGTGAATAGTATAACTGCAGCATATTTAACAAATGTCAAAAACTTATATTAAAAAATTAATCAAGAATTCTTGCAAAAAAAGTGAAAATTGTAAATATCAGAAACAACAGTAAGTGAATTGAGACAGAAATTGTCGATGATTTATTTATGATAAGATTATCAAAATTGACAATGATACTCCCAAATTCAAATTTATAATTAAGGAATTCTCTGGTTGAATATTATTGAAGCACAATTTATGATAAATATACTTTTATTATATATATATATAAAATAATTCTCAATAATTGCATATTACACTATAAATATTACAAACACAATACAGTGCAACCTCTTTAATCCGAACACCACATTGTCAGGCATTGTTCGTATTATCGAATCGTTCGGATTATCGAACATACTATAAAGATTTGTACATATGTATATTATGTAAGTACATACACATTTTATTATAACAATATAAATAAAAATAATATAAGATACATAAAACTTATATAAGGTAAAACATAAACATGTAGTTACATATACGTATATGTATTATTTTACGCTTTTCACATTTTTAATTTTTCTTACTTCCAAAAAAACTCAAAAATTGTTACACAAAACACGACTCGCAACAGGTTCGCTATCGGCAAACAAACTGACTGCCGACTACGCGCGAAGCGGTCTAGTCTTTTCTTGTCATCGTTCAGATTTGACCGTTCGGATTAGCGTGTGATCGGATTAACGTGTGTTCGGATTAAAGAGGTTGCACTGTAATTGAATATTTAATAGCAGAGGTAGACACACATAAATATTACACAAAATAGATAAATAATTATATATTAGTATTTATTTATCTTCTTACCTAACATACATATAAATAATAGCAGACTTTATAAGCAGATGATACATGGCCAATTACACTTGTGTTATTTAAATTTTAAGATTAAAAGTTCCTACAAATACTTTGGGTCGACGAACATTTTTTATCTTTGTACTAGATTTTATGAAAATTGCATTGTAACTTATGCTTACTTTAAAATTTAAATAAAGATGGCGCAAGTGGCCAGTTAACTCTTGTTATAGTTGAATAAGACATTATGTACAAAGGTGTGTGAAAATATTATTCTTTACAAGGCAGATCTCATTTCTTGACCCGTGACAATATTTTAAATACAAATAGTCCCGATTCAATACACACGGGATTAGGGAAATGTCGAAAAAAATTGGAAATATGGAAGCAAAGTCAGTGGAGTTTTATCAGTAACTGAGTAATTGTTAAAGTCAATATGTCATTAAAGATTTGTATCTGTATATGTAAAATGTACTAAATACATCTACATGTTAGTACTAAACCAAATACCTTTCTTAGAATTTACATAGCTTCATTTGACTGGTTATCACAGTTCGTTCTTGTATCAGTTCATACAAAAAGTTATACAAGTGGGTGTCAAAAAATCGGGACTGCCTTGTATCGGCAAAAATTATTTGTATATATGTATAAGGTGATTCAGTCAAAATGTCATTAGTTTTAATCATATGTTCGGAAGGCCTAACTCCTGTTAATTCGGCGCCCTATTTCGTAACAGGGAACAACTCTGGCAGACTAGCGAAACAGCTGATTTATCGTCATCTTAAATTTGGCACTTGGTCTCAAAATCGAAGTGCAGCGGATCCCAACTTTATTAACAAAGTGCTATGGCAGGATGAGTGAGTATTTTTTTGCCGTACTGTCATTTTCAATAGGTAGGTATCACCACACAATAAGCGATATATACTACAAACTGAATAATTAGTTGAACATAATACTAAAAACTTATACTCATTTATAAAGCATAGTGAAAACTATTTATTCGTTGTCGTTCACTATGGATTAAAAACGCAAAAGCTATATTAATAACCGAATATTACGGCAGGTCAAGATTCACTCTTGATAAACCTTTGTGGGTCAGCGGTCAGGAGTGGCCTGAAAAGGAGTTCAAATAAGGATTTGAAAATTTATGTTTTTTCGCTAAAATACGCATTTAAAATTTTTTTAATTGTGTATTTTTTCCTATCTTAAAATTAATGACATTATGACTGAATCACCCTGTATAAAATAATATAAAATACTTCTGTAGGCATATATTCATGTAATTTTGTTGCATTTTTTATCTTAATACTTGAAACTTCTCATATAAAAATAAACTAACTATTGTCATAAGCCTATTTTTAGTTTTTTATTTTGTTATACAAAATATAGCCAAAACATAATTTGTTATAGCCAATAAAGCTACTAACTTTAATCTACTTGATGAATAACAGTATTTAAAAATGCATTAACACTGAATTATTATAAATGCTCATGTTACAGACTATTATTTTTTAATATTTTTATTGTAATTTGATATCATGCTAATATTTTAATTTCATTATGTAATTCACTTGCAGGATAGCTATTTAAAATGAAGAGATCAAAGATAAATATCTGATAATACAGAAATTATTTTTGAAGTTTAAATTATATGCATCTGTGCTAATATGGAAAATTTGTACATATTGCAATGTTAATTTCAATACATTTTATTTTTTTAATATGTGGCAGAAAATTTAACAGTGTATAATATGATTTATATTCAGTTTATGTACAGAGAATTCTGTTTAAGGACTATATATTTTTTTATTTATTACCAAATTCTAATTATTTTTTTTGTCGATTCCTATTCACTCTATAATTCAAAATTATAGTAAAGTATCCCAATTTTGGTGAAAAAATTAGTTGGCAACATATTTTCATGAGAAAAAGAGATATTCAGTTAATAAATAAATGTTTGAGCAAGCTTTATAATGGCAGACTCTACATGATAAACCAACAAAAAAATTTTCTGTATACCAGTGTCCCAAAACGTTTCGTTTTCAAAGTACAGGGTGTTAAAGTTCATGTTATCACATCTACGAATTAAATAAAGTGTTATTTCTATGGCTATGGATCGAAACCAAAGTGTTTCCAGGCACACGTTTATAAGATTTTTTTTACTAATTTGCGAAGTAGAATTCACGATTTGACCAAATATTTTAATTACACCATGTACAGAGATCAAGTCCTTGTACAGCATAGATTACAGATATGTCATCAAAACCAGTAGATAAAATTGTATGCCCCCAAAAAATAAAGTACCTATCAACATTTTAATCACTTACTTTACTCATCAAAAGCAACGACTTTGTATAATGCATTCTTCTTATTTTTTGTCTGGTATTTTGCATCCATTAAAAAAACACTAATGAAGCTGCCTATGGATCAAATGAATATTAATGTAACTCCAAGTCAGGCATCCAGATGTCTTATAGAATAATTCACTATTTTAAAAGTTTTTGTGCTTTGTTATGCTTATTATTATACTTAACAAAGCGTTTTAACTTATGCTGCAGTAGTAATAACAAAAATTTAAATTTCCAATAGATTTATTATCTCAGACAAAAGTTGTTACTTTCGACAAATATGTGTAGTTTAAATTCTGGCACTCTTTTCTGGGACTTTGTATAATAAGTATCTTTTCGTTTTTTACAGTACTCCTAAGCAATTGTATGTATTACCTACTAAATAACCTAACAAACCAAAATATTTATTTTCTAGTTCAATGTTTTAATTGCGCCTTACAAATTAATAAACCTAACTCTAAATAAAAAATTCTCCTTCGATAATTTGAAGTATTTCACTAATTAAAAATCCCAGTCTTATATTTCCAATTCTTATTTTTATTATTCTGGCTCTAATATTGTTTCAATTTGCCAGCAGTGATATCGGGTGAAACTGATTGAGTTTATTTTTTAATGGTAGTTTAACAACTCGTTTAGAATTAATTTTGACATAACATTAGTGGAGAAATAAACCTACACGTATTAGCTCAGGTAATTGTATGTGACTAATTTTTTTCATTACCACAAAAAATGTAAAGGATATTCTCGCTACCAATTTGAGCGTTTCCGGAAGGAACCAGCTGAAACGTTTAGTTTAAAAATGCAAGCAGAGCTTCAGATACATAATTCTGATTAGCAGACGTGCTTTACTGACTGTCATAACAAGTTAAGAGCTTCTACTTCCTTGACTAATGACGACAATATTTTTAAGCCCACATAGATCAAAACTGATTATTTTCTAATATCCCTTAGTAATTAAATCCTTAAACTATGTTCAAACTGATAATAAATAAATTAAAGATATTAGTTACTAAAAATAACAGTTAGAAAGCATAAATTAAAGTCTTCAACATTTCGCACCAAAAATCAGCTAAAAACTCCAAATTAAATATAAATACTCCTCCGAAACTATTCGATAATTTTAAGCAGCATTTACTACTTCTGACTTATTTTCTTTATTGTTCTCTTCTTTCGGTGATTTAAGGGGTTGTGCCTCTCCCGGTTCTCCTTCAATTTTGTTCCACTTTTGCTCTTCCCCAGAACCAAACAGCATGTATACTATGATTTCTATTATATAAAGTACTACTGTCGTCCAGAAAATTATTCTCCATGCTCCAATTGAATGCTAGAATAACAAAAAATGCTTAATAACAGTAAATATTTATAGTAGAATAAAATAGTTCTATTATTATTAGTAACCATTACTATATTTTGATTTAATAAAGTTAAGTACAGGTCAGAATCAAATCATCAGATTCAGATCAAATCTTTATATACAGGATGTCCCTGAAGTTGTTGGAAACGTTTCATATAAGATTTTTAATTCCGAGTCTCTACTAAAAATTTTTATAGTGTTACCTGGACAACTTGCAATAAAATTAAAAGTGATATAAACGGTCGCTTTTTATATTACAAACAATTTTAAAAACTGTAATTTTTAGCATAATGAGAAAAACTAATTTAATTTACAAACAAGAATCCAGTAATAATGATAACTGGGGATATTAATCAGAATAACAGAAGCCCTACTAAAAAAATTTTTCAAATATTGAAATTTAATTTGTTCACTCAAAAACTATGGAAGATATCAACATTTTATAAAACACAAACAGTTTCTAGATGGAGCCATTTAAATAGTAATTTTTTATTGTAGATTTTGCAGTCAAGAACCAGTGAGTTTATAGGTTTATGGGCTTGCAGAATCTTAATCTGGAGATAGCGTAACCCTAAAGGTCACCTTCAAGTCAATTCAAGGTCATTTCAAGATCAAACTAAAGAAGGCTTATATTGAATTTCAACCAGTGCGTATATGTTTTTTTTTGGGGGAGGGGGACTGAATTCGCTGATAGCTTAGCCCTATAAGGTCACATTTAGGTCAAGTCAAGATCATTTCAAGGTCAAAGTAAAGAAAAGGCCTTTCACGAATGTTAACCTGTAAGTATGTATGCTTTTGAGGTTGCTGAACCTGAATTCAGGGATAGCTTAGCCCTATAAAGTCACCTGCAGGGCTTGAATTGAGATCAAGTCAAATGAAATGACCTTGACTTGATTTATAGGTGACCTTAGATAGCTAAGCTATCCCCAAATTCAGGTTCAGCGATCCCAAAAGCAAAGCAAAATTTTGTACCTACTGGTTAAAATTCATTAGGTACATGCCTCATTTTTTGAATCCATCAACTTGAAACTTCGTGAAGCTTATTCAGACCTACAGCCAAAATCACATACTTCCCCCCCCCCTCTTTAGCTCTGAAACTATTCATAGGATTATGACAATTTTTGATCAGAAAGTCAAAAACTATAACATACTGCAATTACAGCAAAATCGACTGGGATCCATTTTCCCATTGATTTTGTGTGGGGTTCTTTTATAGAAATTAAAATAATTAAAAATGAATTGTCAAATGCACTGGAAAAGGAAATCAATGTTTTATTTCTGCATCTGTTATGAAATATAAATGGAATGCTTTGATAAACTTTACGTTTACTATAATTATATTGAAAACAATTAATTGTAAACAGATTTTACTATTTACATAGTAAGAGCCCATTCACCCTGTATATGTAGAAACTTTAAAATATTGACATAATATACATAAGAAAACAACTTACATCTGCTGAAGTCAGTTTACCCACAAAAACTGGCACGATAATGCCAGGAATTGTTGCAACGGTATTGGTCAGTGCCATAAGAGTTCCAGCAAAGTTGGGTGCTATATCAATATGATTGGACAAGAATCCACAGAACATCCCTCCTATGCACATAACTGCCAATGTCATTAGTACAACAGCCAAAGTCCTTTGACATCCAATGTAACACAGAATAATAAAGCATACCATTGGTACTACACTGGCGCAACCTGTAGCTAACTTTCTGGCCATAGTGGTATTTATAATCTTCTTTGCACGCAGAGTGTCCAATGTTTTGCTCAGGATCATGCTGAATAGCCACATGCATAAGAACGGTACAGCTGTTAGAACTGCGTTTTCTGATATTTTGAAATTTAGAACGGATTTCATGTATAAAGGAAGCTCGATCAAGACCATGTACCAGCCCCAGTTGGAGCAAGTGTGAGCAACGAGAATAGCCAAAAACGCAGGTGACGTAAGTACGGACTTCCAAGGCATTTTGTGCTGTTCCTGCAAGGAAAAATATATTTTAAACTACTTATGCTCTTATTTTGAATTGGAAATAAAAAATCAGAATCGTAACAAAGACTAGCAGTTTAATCAAAGGAGACAATTTAGTTTTACTTTCAGTGCTTGATAAGTTGGGTACTGGCTTACCTCGTGTTTTGTTTCATTTTCTCCTTGATTTAATGAAGTCACAATGTAATTTCTCTCCTCTTCACTGATAAACCTCTGAGTTTGTGGTGTATCGGCAATAAAAACTATCCAAAGAAGTAGCCACAATGCACTGACTCCTCCTTCAATATAGAACACTGCTTGCCAACTGATAGCACCGGCTATTATTCCAGACATTAACATAAATATCTGAAAATAAAAAATATTTTAATTGTTTTGAATATTTTAGTATACAGTGCCTTAAAGACAAAAGAAAAGTTATTTGATGTAGAGAACTTTTATTTTATAGAGGGAATAACATTGGGAAAAACTTTCAGAGCTGATTTCTTTCGTAAAATTAATTAAAAAAAGCATTTTTTTTCTACTACTACTGTGTTTCACCTCTAATCCTTGAAGGATCGAAATTACCTTTTTTTGTTTATTTTAAAGAAAGGAATCGGTTTTAAAAATTTGTTGCAACATAACTATTATAGTCTTATATAAACATCTACAGAAAAAAAATACAAAATAGGCATCTATTGCCACAATTGGGGATGAAGTACTTACTACAGTGCCAAGTGCAGTCCCTGCGTATACAATACTACTCATGACGCTCCTTTCATTCGGTGGTGCCCAGTGAGCCAACATGACGTGCATAGCAGGGAAGGTGACTCCCCCACCGATCCCCTCTCCGATCCTCATGGCTATAAGTGCCCCAAAATGTAGTTGAGCCATTACTGGGGTCAAAAGAGTGCAAACAACGTTGATGGCGACTGAGAAAAACATAACCCATTTGGCACTGAAGAGTTCGGCAATTCTTCCTCCAGGAATTTGGGCCACTATGTAACCCCAGAAATAAGCGCTGAGTAAGGTGCCTTGAATAGTGCTTGACCAAATGAAGGGGCCATCCTACAACAAAATTCGCTCTAGATTCACATTCAACATTGCTTTGGCATTTTTTTAAATTCTTAATTCTTGTATATTCAGCTATTCTTAGATTCCTCTTTCCATAATAGTCAACGATACAGTGACTCAAATTAGAAAAAAGTTATACTATTAGGGGACTACCTATTTGTTTCTGGATGCTCTGTATCTAAATTAAAAAATAGAAGCCGGTTGACTATACTAAATTTAAGTGTAAATCATTGTTTTTTAGCCACAGCTTTGGCTAAAATTTGATTTAAAAAATTATCTGTGACGCCTTGTATCTCAAAATCAAATTACAGGCACGATCCGTAGGAAAAAATCGCTTGATTTTTTAACATTCTATCAACGCTTTTATAATACGTTACATAAATATTAATCGTTAGAAACGTTACTATTCCTCTGGTAATTTAACCGATTTCGCATATCCAACAATAACTAAATTAGCAATCGTAGTAACTTAATTTGGCTACATATGTCATACATATAAGGCAGCATACCTAAACAAATGAACAAAATCAATAAATCATTACTTAAAACAGTAATAAGACATTTAGAAAAAAAAAATTAATGTTTTAAATAATGTTATTGTCGAAGACTACTCTATGGAGTTAAAAAGTTCATTTCGCTTAAATTAGTGCAACACTAACCATGCTTTTTAGTCCAAGCATTAATTATGTGACGGTCTAATGTTAAATTTGCAGAAATTATTACCTATCTGGAAAAAAATATGACTGTATAAGAAATTCAGTTTTAAATTGAGTTTCTTCTTTAAACTCGATCGAAAAGGGAGGCATTTTGAACATTTATTAAAATAAATTTGACAATTAAAAACCTGTGACAGTTGTCATGATTGTTACTTATCTGTCACGGCCAACCTAAAATGTGCGAAACAAATGAAAACATCATTGTAAGAAAAGGGAAATGCTGTTTATTCGTAAATAAAAAGAAATCCACTGGGTTTAGGCATAGGGAAACTTTAACAAAGTTACACTTAATTTTAGTGCAGAATGCGAATACGTTAAAAAAAATTAGGGGTTTCCATTTAAAAATTTCGAGTTTTCCACATTTTGTGAACTTCATATTCAATAATTTTTTTTTGTGCACCCTGTATAAAAATTGGAAAATTTTCATGTCAAATTCGATAAATTAGGTCTTCCTCCACAAAATGTCCAATTTGCACAAAAAAATAAATGAATGTTTCTGAGAAATCTAAATTTTGCTGTCTGCATCTGTCAATTTTTGCTTAAAAATCAAAATATCTCGGAAACGGTCAATCCTAAGTATGGAGTGTGCTATATGTTTTCTACTTAAAAATAGACGTTCTTTCCACAGTGCAGTAATATACAGTTCCATTTAAAATAAGAAAGTTAGTATTCACTTCCGGTATAACCGCAAGTACGATTATCTTGAAAATATTTTAGCTTGATGGACCCCACGGTCCGTATCACACCATCACAATTTCAAAAAAATCCTTTGAGCGGTTTCGCAGATATCCATCGATGGAGTTCGTGGTGGGACACCCTGTATATCTCTGATCGAAACATTTTAGATGAGAAAGTTGTAGGTTTGAAAAAGATCTATCGATTGATTTTTTATAAGTATTGATTGTTACTTTTCGGGATATATCAAAAAAACATTAAAAATCTTCTCTTTTCTCTAATATAAAAAGTACATTTTTGAAAAATAAAAAATTAATTATTTTTCGATACCTATAGCGGTTTTTGTTTTGTAAAAAAAGGCGCTCTCAAAAATTGGCTATATCCTCTCAGCGGATGGCCCTACAGTAATGATTTTCGGCTTATTTTCTTCGCAAGTTGTATTACCATGCTATTAAAAAAATTTTACGGTTTTATTAATTTTAAGGATCAAAAAATTACTTCTCGTCGTCTACTGTAAGGCCATCTCCTGAGAAGATCTAGCCAATTTTCGAGAGCCTTTTTTTAAAAAAAAATTGATATATCGAAAAATTATATTTTTTAATTTTTCAAGAATGTACTTTTTTGGTTTGCCGCGAACTATGCTTGCAGTAAATAGAAAGTATGGGAACGTAAATGTAAAGGAGTTATAGAAGAAGAGAAAAGAGAAGATTTTTAACGGGGTTTTCGATAAAAGTACCAAACCAATCGATACTTACAAAAAATCAGTTGATAGATCTTTTTAAAACCTACAACTTTCTCATTTAAAATTTTTCGATCAGAGCTATTTTTTTTTAGTTATTGTAGAAAACTAGTTTTTTGCAGCTTTGCCAATATTTTTGGCCATGTTCGCCATTTTGGATCGAATTTAAAGAACAAGAAACTCAATTTATTACTTTCCTATACGGTCATTCTACAGGCTAGCAGGTAGCTTCTGCCATGCTTTCTGTCAGTAGGTATTGAGTAGCAGTGACAATTTTTTTTTGTAGATTGTATCAAAACTACTTCCTTAAATAGATTACTAAGGGGGTACTTTTTGTTTGCGTAAATGAAAAAACCATGTTTCTACGACGCCGCATATTTTGCATAGATACGAATAAAAAAATGTACTGTAATGAGATGCTAATTTTATTAATTTATTTCAATGAGCATTTGACAAGATCTAATGAAACTATGCGGGCCCGCATTCATTGCCCCAGAAATAAATGCATCAGTAAACAATCTATTCCTGCAATTACCGCTTATTAAATAAATTTGTTCGAATTTTTATCCGGGCGGTGATTGTCGAATTCAGGCCATTGAAATACGTGGGAAAGCATCAGTAGGTCTATTAAGACTGACAAAGAAGCTTCAAGCAGCCTTTGAGTTTAAAAATATTCCTATTAGATGAGATAATTTTACTATTATTGGAGTAGGCCCATATATTAATATGTTTAGGAGGTCAAACTGACACAGGTTTATTACTTGGCCAATTTAACCACTTGCGATTTTAAATAGCTGTGATTCGTAGGTCCATTAGGACCATGTCTGCACTGCATGTTGATTTAAATAACAATTCGGCAATTTCAGTCCAAACCGTAAACAAAAGTTTCATTGGTACCCACACCAAAATTCTTTGGTCATAAATCAACTTGACAACAAATTCAGATTTTATGCCAATGCGATGCAGATTTGTCGACATCGAATGCATCTGGTTTATTCTTTATTAGGAATTTGCATTGTTTCATTGAGGAATCTTAAATAAAACTGCATATTGACATTTAATTTACATATGAAATTAGTTTTGTTTACATTTTATACAGTGTTATAGACTCAAAATTTGGCACAAGAACGTTAGGAAGACCCGTCGAAATTTTGATACAATTTTCTTTATTTAACAGTCAATTGTTTCTTTCTAAGGCTTACATAGTTTTTAGTAGATAATATGTAGGTGATTTTATATTGTCTCCCAATATTTTCAGGGTAGACCTGGCGTAAAAAAAGAAGAAGAATGTATAAAAAGGGAGTGTATCCTTTCGAGGATAATGATAAGTTTTTTGCGATATTCTTACAAGTCCTTCAAGATGTCTTCTAATTCATACTTTATTTTCTAAGCTAATTCAAAATAGGTACCTATTTTATTAAACTAATTCAAATGCATGTAAAATTTTGTCTAAAAATCCTATCAAATGATGTCAAATAATGTTTTTCAATAACAAAAATTTAGGTAGTATGCAAAAGATATCTAACCTCTAGATTTTTGGAATGGAAGAACATTGTTTTATTATTAGTTAAATCGTTAAATCCCTGATTCCGCGTAGGAAATGATTGTCAATATTTCATCTCAAGAATATTAGAGATAAAAGATTAATTTAATTTCGACATATCGAACCGTTTTCGAGAAAATTAGGCTTACATATAAGAAACGCATTCTCTTATGCAAACCTGAATTTGTCGAAAACATTTGGATTTATCGAAATTAAGCGAAAGTGCCTATCTTTTTTATTTTAGTTTAGTATAAGTATAAAATATGAATGGACGTGCTACACGAAAAAACGATATTGTTGAGCAATATTTTAAAAATAATGAAAGTTTGGCAGTTTGATTTAATTGCATCAACTGGAAAGAGATTAATTGAAACATTAAGGGAGAAGGGATCGATTACTGATCTTAAACACTCTGCCAGTCCTTCAATAAGTCGAAGGACACAAAATATCGAAGCAGTTCGTGAGAGTGTTGCTTCGGCACCGTGGTCAAGAATTGGACATTTCGGGAGCCCTCTATAATGCTCTCTAGAGCTCTCACGAAAGATTTGCATCTTCATGCTTACAAAGTTCAATTGACTCAAGAACTGAATCCTACTGATTACGCAGAGAGAAAAGAGTTCGTTGAATGGATTGAGGAGTAACAAATGGATGCTGATTTTTCGAACAAAACCATCTTCAGTGATGAGGATCATTTTCATCTTGTTGGCTTCGTTAATCGACAAACTTGCATTTCACAAAATCCACGAGTGATTGCTGAGAAACTAATAGATCCACAACGTGTCACTGTTTGGTGCGGATTTTGGGTTGAAGATATCATCGGACCATTCTTCCTCGAAAATGCGGCTGATCAAACAATAACAGTTAATGGAGCTCGCTATAGCGACATGATAATTCAACTTTTTGTGCCTAAATTGCAAGAAATGGATGTAGACGACATGTGATGTTAACAAAACGGTATCACATGCCATACGGTCCGAGAAACAATTCAATTATTGCACGAGTCATTTCCTGGTGGTGTAATTTCCTGTTTTGGTGATCAGATCATGCAATTTGGACTTTTTTCTTTGGGGTTCTTTTGAAGTCAAATGTTTGCTTTTATCAACAAGTCTACAACCACACACGCCTTGAAGGAGGAAATTGGCAGCTGTATCAACGAAATTCAGCCGCGTTTATGTAAAATGGAAAATTTCGACAAAAGAGTGCATATGTACCTGTAAAGCCGTGGAAGTCACTTGCTATTACGCTATTCCATGCATAACCCTATAATACTGCATTATACTTTATGAATCAATAAAAAATTTACAATTTGTAATTAAAAAAC